AAATTAGCCACAAGAGGACTCTCGTGTTATTTCTCGAGTGTAGTACAATAGAATTACAGGGAACACATCATTAAAAAGGAGAAAGAAAGCTTTTTAAACTCCTATTCTCCAATATAAATTAATAGCTTCTAGGTTTATTGGTTCCCAGAAGGAAAAAAGCTGAATTTGTTTACTCCTACATATGAATAATCATGTCCATCATAACCCAGTGGAAGAAAACATACCAAAAGGATTAATGTTCCTAGTTACATGAAGTAAACAGAAGGCTCAGAGGCAAGAAGGGAGAGAGAGGCTTGAAATATAACACCAAAAATGGAGTTTGTTCTAGGAATCTCAGATGTGAAGGCAGACAATAGTCCAAGATCAAAACTCATTTTGTACAAGAAAGAAGTGACCCTGCTATGGGCCAACCATCATTAAATACAAAATGCTTTCCTCCCCTTGGATACATAGTGTCTAAGATCTCACTAGTCCCCATGTAACACAGAGAGTTCTGTATTGTGTGAGCTTGTATATGTGAAATGGAGGTGGGAATAAGAAACCCTCAAACAAGATGACTTTGTGAAAAAAAATACTTCACTCATTATCAAATCTTATGAATGAGTTAAAATAGATCATGAATGATTTAAGTACACATAAACTTCATAAAACCCTGTGAAAGAAACACTTTTGCCCACTGTGATGGGTCAGCTTCATTGTCAGCCTGACTGGTTTGTGAGTTGCCTAGGGACTAGCAAAGCCCTCTTCTGGGTGTGTCTTAGTGGGTTCTGGAGCTGCGACCTTGGGGACTATACCTGGTTGTGGCCCCTTCCTCTCTGGTGCTGTCCCTGTATGTTCTGATTCCTGACTGTGAAGAGTTAAACAGTTTTCTTCCACTTTGCCCTTCTGCCATGCCATTTCTGTTTTTGGAGCCAATTGACCATGGACTGAGTCCTCTGAAACTGTAAGCAAATAAATCTTCCCTCCTTTAAGTTGTTGATGTTGGATATTTTGTCCCACCAATGAGAAGTCTGATCAATACACCCAGATTTTCTAGCACAGAATACTAGAGTTGGAGTAGTTGTGTGTCCCCAAACTTAAATAGTTGAGTCTGTGGAAATTGCTACAAGGGATTTGTAGCAAGTGACTGGCTACATAACATACAAGCTCAAAATATCAATGGCATACAAACCTAGGTATTTATTTCTTATTCACCTGTTAGTGGGACAGCCCAGGTGACTTCTCCACCTGTCTCTTTTCCTCCCTGTAGCTGGCTACAGGGGAATGCTCTTCCATGGCAATCACAGAAGCCAAGGAGAGTTCTCCCAACTGTGTGGCACCACGGAATTCCCTCCAGTATCAAAACAGTGTCAGTGGCCAAAACAAGACACAAGTACAGCCCAGAGTCAAGAAGTGAGGAACTATACTTTGCCTCTGAGGTAGGAATAAAGAATCATCAAAAATCCAGAGCACATGGATGCAGTGAGAGAAAGAAATGGGACCAAACCTTCCATCTATATCAACATTTGAGGAAATTTGACTCAATAGGTAGCTTCTGAAGACACTGACAGATTTCACTTATGGGGATAAAACAGTTGGGTTTGCCTTAGTGGTACACTGGGGGAAACTCTGAAAAGTAAATCACTTCATGGGATGTATGGTTACTGTGACAGTCAACATGAAGTGTCAACTTAAATGGCTTTGGGAAAACCTGGGCTACTGGTGGAGCTCACTCCTGGGTGGATCATAGTGACTTGGACTTAGGGTCTACGTCTGGTCCCTGACCCCATTCTCTGTGGCATCTGATCCCCTTCCCCACTTCCTGGCTGCCATGAACTAAACATAGTTACTCATGGATTATGAAGTTTCTGCCTTGGAACCAGCTGACCATGGACTAAAACTCCAAAACCATGAGCCAAGTTAAATTATGGGTGTTGGATATTGCATCTAGCAACAAGAAAGCTGTCAAATATAATTAGGAAACACTTGTCCCTTTCCTGGAAAGTGGTGGAATGCAAAGTTTCCATTCCATATAAAAGGATGAATAAATTCCTGAACCTGAATCAGGCAGATGGCTTCTGGGTTTTGGTGCTAAAGAATTTTCAGACTCTTGCAAAGAAGGTAGTCTATACATTTTCCTGTAGTTCTCATGTGCACTTGTTCAAAGAAACAGAAACCAAGAAGGAACCTGAATTAGATTTCAAACTTGTCTAGAATTGAGCCATATGCACATATCATAATGAATGCTTTTTATTGAATAGACAAATGTTTATATTACCTCCTAATTTTTATCCAATATGTACTTTCCATTCAATAAAAATGTAAAATCACATTATGTGCATTTTAAAATTGCCATCAACATTGGTATATACTCCATTTACTAAACTCATGCTTGTCTATTTGAAAATGCATCATTAACATCACATATTTGAAATTTGAAGTTTCAGAGATTTGCATATTTAATTTTGCCTTTGTTTTCTTGTTTTAAAAAAATACTAATAACTACATTAGAAGAAAGTTGCAGATATTAACAGAAATGCCATGTATCCACAAAAGACCTCACCAGAAAATAATCACCTTTGAAATCCAGAGATCAAAAATGCCAGCCCTGATCAGCCTATCCTTGCTTTACCTACCTTACAGACTAGCCACTGAGAAAGAGAATATTAAGTATAATCTTCTGCATGACACTGCCCATCACCATGGTAACAATGAGCTTAATTTTCAAGGCTGACTGTTTTCTGGGTAGGTTTGATTTAGGGGACTTAAGGTGTTTGGCCAGCACCACACCTGCATGATTCCTTCCATTAGGGGGCGCTGTGCTCATCATTACTGCACAGCGTCTCCCAGGCCCAAGTCGGCATGCGGTTGGTTACAACACATCAAAGACCACTCCACTTAAAACTGCATCACTTTAATCCTTGGGCAAACACAACAATCAAGAGGAAAGCTGTTTTATTTCTTAAGAATCAATGATTCGAGAGTAAGTTTTTTTAAAAAAAAACTACAACATTTTCTCCTTTTGGGCCAGTTTGAATATAACTCTCCACTGTGGGACTGAACGTTATTACTACCTGACCACCTACAATAAAGAAGGTGGGCAACTCTACTGAGTGCTGGCCAGACGTGTGTCTGGGCCAGCCAAGGGAATGTCCTTAATTGCTAGCCTTCTTCACAGACCCTGAGACAGGCGAGGAGTCCTCAGGGCATGTTGATGTGTGGCCCATGGCCTCTTCTACTGGGGCTTGCAGGCCGAAGGGGAGGAGGAGAACACATCCCCATGCCTCAGCATTTCTGCCTCACTCCTTCCTTTTAAGAGCATGAATTACACCTCTCCATCCAGAGCGGCACCAATTTGGATTTACAGTGTGCTAAAGGCGAGTCCAGGGTGATTAATGTGGTTCATATTTGACAAAATGTCATCACATACCTTTGCTTCTTGTGTGTGCTATCACAGTTGGTATTCCTTCCAAGATTAAGGGCTAAAATACCTAATCATCTGAGCCATAACAGGAAGTAAATGATGCATTTGGATTTCATTCCTTAAGCACAAGAGGATTACATTTTTCTCAAGATCTCCTATTAAATGTTTTAAAAATTCTACTTGAACTTGTTTTGCCCCACGTTAAAAACAAATCTGGTATTTTAAAATTATTTTGAAAAACAAGACTATCTTCTGTCCACATTTATCCAAAATACCCATTTTGGATGTGGGTAAGTATTTAGACCATGCAGTCAACATTTTTTGAAGTGGACAAAACTGAAAAGATGAGCAGATTGATAGGATGCCAGCATGTCAGCCCACCCAAAAAGCAATGACAAAGCCAACAAGATTAAAATCAACAGGGAGAAAATCAACAGCAGGAAGCAGGTAACTAGGTTTTTATCTTGCACCTATTTGGGGGGAAAGAGAAATAACTGTGATATCTCTTACACCTCAGCCTGCCATACAAGGACCAAGAAATGGACAGGAATGAGCAATGTCGGGCCAGGACCACGGAGGCTTCCTGTCAAGTTGTCTGCTGGGGAGCCTAGGGTATCAGACCAAGGACGGCTACTCCATAGCTGCCCCAGAAACACCCAACGATGCCCAATGACAAATCAGCAGGTGCAGTGACAAGTCGACAGGCGTGCCAGGAGTTCTCAGGTACTGAAGTAAGGCAGCCCCAAGAGCACCTATCAACCATGCAACCCAACCTGGAGACAGGGAAGAAGCTAAAGAGAGAACGGTGGTGAAGGCAGAGCTCAGGCCTGGGTGGCTCCAGGGAAAATATAGGTATCACACGGCAGTGCCCATGTTTGAAGGACCACACCAGACCGAGACAGGTGCTGAAGGTGCTCTGCTCTATTGATTGGTGGTAAACAGCCAATCAGTTTGGGCACAGTCATCTAAGTGAACCAGAGATTCTCTAAAGATAGTCGGGACACTCCTACCACCTGTGGTCATGGAAGTGACAGCTCCTTCACCTGATTCTGTTGGATCAAGACCAGTCACAGACACAACCCGCACTCAAAGATGTGAACCCGGGAGGGAGAGGTGCTAGAAGCCATCTCAGAGTCTCTCTCACCCTGGGCTTTCGAACCTGGGGAGGAATAAGAAAAGGAAGTGGACGTCACACCGAACACTTGAACAAGGAACATCAGGGCTTTTTGGCGGGCCATGGTCAGACACTGACTTTGTGGAGGCCAAAATGCAAGTATGCCACCCACGCCCAATGCTACTCTGGCCCCTCCACTCACTGAGAAAAAAACCTCCTCCTGTAAGCCTAGAAGTGACAGCCCCAGCATCAGGGAGCTCCCTCACTTCTGGATTTGAGCAAAGATGGCTGGTTGGTTAGGATACTGGAAAATGATGATGTGCTTACACTCTGTGATTGTTTATATTCCATTTTTAATACAGAGAATTATAAAGGACATTAGCACAGATGGAGCATCTCCTTTTTCCAGACCTTGTTACAGATGCTTGATGACACAATGCTGGAGCACCTGTATTTTATAGAAAAAGGACAGGGGACTTGAAGAGAAAAGGGACTCGTCCGCAATTGCATATTTAGAGAGTGTCAGAGCTAGGATATAAGCAGGGCTGGTCAAGATTTTTATTTAATTTCATAGGAGGATTTGTTTGGCTTCATTACCCAGTACTGCTTTACAACCCTAATCCGGAAGAAGTAATTCTTCATGACCGGATGTGAATTTGATTTACTCTGGCTATTTCCGATAGTGACTAATCACTTCATCCTCACAACGCATCAGAAACGAGTGCAAAGGAGACTGCTGTTTCTGTGGACTTATCTTGTCTGGTGGTTTGGCTAGAGGAGAATGAGGAGTGCAAAATCTGAAAAAACAGATTTGAAGTCAGAAACAAAATACACACATCCTAAAAATAACTGGCTCCCAGCTCTTAAGAAAACAGAGTCATGGCAGGGTTTGAGAGGGAAAGCATGAAAAATAAAAGCTTTACCTGTAGCAGAGTTGGAGAGTACAGAAGATTCCCCAAAATCTAAGTTCTCTGTGACTCCCCTGACCCAAATCCTAACCCTAACCTCAAATTTGTGCCAGATATAGAGTCTGGTTTATTGGCTCATATTGGTTCACATCAAATATGTGCACAAAAATAAATATTCTGAGGTACAAATTTTAGATGGGATTCACAGAGTCTTTCCTCAACTCCCCAAATCCCAGGGCTTAACCTGAAGACAGACATTAAAATCGCTGAAGAAGGATGGTGTTACTCGGTTGGCTGGAAAAGCCCTGGAGACTCCTTAATCTCCTTTATGGATGTCTTGAGTTCCAGAAGTCTAGTCTTGAGCTCTAGCCTCATCAGACATGGGATCAAGGGAGAGGGGAGTAAGCTAGATGAGACTCTCTCCTTACTCCTGTTCATCTAAAAAAAGAAAGAGTAGTCAGCCATTAGGGAAAGGGAGAGTACTGTGAGGGGTTAGCAGAGTCCAAGAAGACAGAGAGAGCCAGAAGATGAGATGGGGGCAGAAGCCACACTTCCGAAGAGCAAGAAAAGACCAGCAGGGTTTGTGCCTCTCTCCCTTGTCCAAGTCCTAGTCTGGAGCTGCCAGTCCTTCCACCACCTTTCCAGCCGAAAGTGCTAGGGAGTCCACAAATTAGGTTCTTTCCTAACCCTGATTTGAGAGTTAGAGCATGGTTGTTTTCTAGAGACTCGGGCTGGTGGAACAGGTGGGTTGGTAATCAATGGTCAGACCCCAGGTTCTCAGCTCTGCAACAGTGTGGTGCTGCCTAGGCAGAAGCACAGAGGAGGAGGGCTGAGATCCTCATGTAGCTGGGCAGGAGTTAAAAGGAAGATCTTTTATTAACCAAGAAGTTGAAGTCACAGTACTTTCTTTGCCATATTCCATACAAATAATTATGGTAATGGGGCCAGAATTGTTTCCTGTTGAGCTGGTGAGTGAAGGGGACTACGCATTCAGACTGCCTAGATGTAAATCCCAATTCCAATGTTTACTCCCCATGTGATTTGAGGAAATTATTTACACTCTGTGAGCCCCAGTTTTCGGAACAGTAAAACGGGTATACCAACAGTCTTACCTGGTGGTGACTTTATGAGAATAACAAGACACACCTGTAGTTGATACCATACCTGAGACCTTGTGCCTTAAACAAATGTTGACAAAATCAACTAGTCACAGAGGTGGTGGTCTATTCTCTCACTGAGGGTTTGGGAGCCCATGGTGATTTGGTTTGGACCCTCCTTCATGGAGCCAGTGGACCAAGCTGAGGGCAGTGGGAGCCCTAGGTTGTCTTTGAAGACAGCAGCAACACCGAGCTTCTCTGGCTCCTCTGCAAAAGATTGAGTTTGTTTTTTAAGTGAAATATTCTTGGTAGACAGAAACATTCTTTCTGGACATCTTGAGTTGCTGACTACAAAATGAAGAAATGGTCTGGGCTTGTTTTTTTTCTTTTTTAATGAGCCAATAACAGCATTACTATTGTTGAGTGCCTGAAAGGAAGAGTTTTCACACAGGATGCATGGATGTAAGGCTGTGAGGCACCGCCAGCACCTGGACTGAAATATCCTTGCACTGGGGACCCTGGCCATGGTGGCGCCTCAGCTCGGCACCTGAGCCCAGCCCCAGCCGAACTCCCTCCCAGGCCGCATGTCTGAGGCTGGCTGGGCTGCGCCAGGTGGGTGGTGGGACGGGGGCCGGACCCTCAGGGCCCGGGAGGCTGCGGCTTGGCCCAGATCACCGTGAAGAACTGGAGAAATTCAGAGTGTACTCTGCCTGCAAGGTCACAAGCCCTGTAATTCCTTCAAGAATATAAAAAAGTAAAAGAGGAGAAGATCACGAAGATATTCTTAAAACACACTGAATTAGGCTGTCATCCTAGCACTCTGGACAGCTGAGGTAAGATCACATGGTAGAGTCCAGCCCAACCAGTTTGGGCCATAGGCTTTTCTGTCACATGGAGACTCAGGTTATGGAACCCCAGGACATGAGCTCACTTCCTTGGCAACATCTCCAAACAGAACTTGGAACCCTTGCTAACGGGCATCACAATTTAGTAACAGCTGTCTCACGACCTCACTTGGGCGGAGACGGTCAACAGTGAACATGCTGAGCTGTTTCTCCACTGTGAGAGGCCGCAGCCTCAGGACCCCAGGCAGAGAAAGTATCTGTGAAGGATTGAGAAGACGGCTGACTCCATCCAGACACTGCAGGCTATGCTGTAGCAGCTGCATGACTGTCACACAACACCCCAGGGAAGTTCTCCCCGGGAGTGACCAACAGTGACCTACCACAATCAAGGTACCCCGGTGAAGGCTCCCTAAGCCCAAATACCAAAGGCACAGAAACTGGGAAGAGCGTGGGGCAAGTATCACCAGGCCCAGAAACACCCAGTAGCTCTGGGAAGGCCTCCCCAGAGCCAGGCATAGGAAACCTAGAGAGTCAAAGTCCAGGGAGGAGACCAAAGTCACAGCCACCGGCCCCCAAGAGACACTGAGAAGCCCAGTGTACATCCACCCAGGCCTGGCCGGCACTATTGGAAACAACTTCACAGAGAGCCTTGCAGAATCCCGGCCAGCGTGGTCCCTGCAGGCAATCAGGCCACTCTTGTTCTCTGAGCCTGGTCTGCCTGTTTCCCTGGGCAGCCAACCCGTCTATGGTCCCTTCTTCTCAGGCACCTCCACCACCCACACCTCTACCTGATCGGCCCTGATTTTGGGAAGAGACATCATGACAAGTTCTCTTGAGAATTCCATCCACTTTGAGGGCCTGTGTGATAAAGATCGAGATGTGTGGTGTTTGGACGATAAACAGATTTCACCACATGCAGAGTAGAAGAGGAAGGAGACCCATATACTGTGTCACCTCAGTTGGAGTTAGAAGAGGCCATTAGGCTTTCTGAGCTAAAGGAGGATTCTGAACTCTTAATTCATTCATCGCCTTGTATACCAGAACATCCTAAAGTGCCTTGTCCAAGAAAAGAGAAATCCATCCACCACAGAGCCGCAAGCTGCTGTGGCGAAAGCTGTATTGTGCAAATGGCTGTGCTTTTCAGGCCAAATGCTTCAGCAGGTGAGCTCGCTGTGCTATCTGCACAGACTGTGTAGGGGGACTTGGCCTTCAGGTGTATAAGTGCACCAACTGTAAACTCTTGGTGCACAAGAAATGCCACAAACTTGTCACAATTGAATGTGGGCAGCATTCTTTACCATCAGAGACCATGGTGCCAGTAGATCCATCATCCATGGCTTCAGACCCTGCACACTCAGCGATCCCACATAACCTTTCAACTCATGAGGCTTTAGAACAAGTTGATGAAGAGAATGAGGCAGGGAACAACAGGGAAAGTGGCAAAACTTCATCTGGTCTAGGTCTTGAGGACTTTGATTTGCTCCAAGTGATTGGCAGGGGAAGTTATGGGAAAGTACTGTTAGTCCAACTGAAAAAATCAAATTGTATGTATGCAATGAAAACAGTGAAAAAAGAGTGTGTCAACATTGATCAGGTACAGAGAGAGAAGCGTGTTTTACAGCAGGCATCCAATTGTCCTTTTCTTGTTGGACTGCATTCTTGCTTCCAGACAGAAAGCAGACTGTTCCTTGTTCTAGACTATGTAAATGGTGGAGGTCTGGTGTTTCATATGCAGCAACAAAGAATGCTTCCTGAAGAACATGCCAGGTTTTTCTTTGCAGAAATCAGTTTAGCATGCAACTGTCTTCATCAGCAAGGAATACTTCACAGAAATTTAAAATTGGAAAATGTATTACTGGACTCAGAAGGCCACATTAAACTCACCGATTATTGCTTGTGTAAGGAAGGCTTACAGCCAGGAGACACGACCCGCACTTTCTGTGGCACTCCTCATTTTGTGGCTCCAGAAATTATAAGAGGGGAAGATCACAGTTTCAGTGTGGACTGGTGGGCTCTTGGAGTACTGATGTATGAGATGCTGATCAGAGACTCTCCAGTCCATCTTGATGAGTCCTCTGATAATCTTTATAGAGACTCAATAGAGAATCTCTTGCAAGTAATTTTGGAAAGAGACATTTTCATACTTCGTTGTCTGTCTGTAAAAGTGCCAAGTGTCCTGGAGAATTTTCTGAACAGGGACCCAAAAGAATGACTGGGTTGTCATCCTCACAGGGGTTTTGCTAATGTTCAGGAGCATCCATTCTTTAAAAATGTGGACTGGGACATGATGGAGCGAAAGCAGGTGGTGCCCCCCTACAAACCAAATATCTCTGAGGGATTCAGCTTGGACAACATTGATCCTGAATTTACTAATGAACCTGTCCGGCTCACCCCAGATGATAATGACATCATGCAGGAGCTTGATGGATACGAATTTGCAGGTTTTGAGCATATCAATCATCTTACGATATATGAAGAATGGGTCTGATCCACATTTTGCTTATGTTGCCATTTAATGCTTGGAAAAACTTGTTACCAGCCTGGATAGAATTAACCATTTCAGAATTGTATGGAAGCTAATTTTAATTTATTGTTTTGAAGTTATATTTAGATGTAATACTTGATTCTTATAGTCTATAGTAGAGAATATGAAATTTTGTGTTCATAGATTAGATTTTTATGAACTGATTTAAATAACAATGAGGCAATCACTTGTTAACCACACTTGTATATGCATTCCATTTGTTGAGTGAGACATAATGCCTAATATTTTTTCTTTTTACTTATGATACAAGAAAACAATTTGTCTTTTCAGTAAAATAACTTACCTATGCTAGCTTCTCTCCAACCACATTACCTGTACCTTTTGGGCTCAGTTTATGTAGTCTTCAGGAAAATCAAAAATATAGCAACAATTTTGAATAAAAACACATATACTTGTATCTTTTTATATGAAGAAAATACAATATATGACTACAAGCTTTGGAAAGGTAATAGTTTTCATGAAATGGGGCACCTAAAAATGGTTAAAAGATAATTTCTTAAATGTTTACAAATTTTAAATCATTCTAAATTTAAAACTAGGTCATTAAGTAAAATTAGGATGCTGTATATCATCCTTCTGTTTTAGTATCATTTTTATGCCAAGGATTTGAAAGGTAACCATCATCATCTAAATGTAAATAAGTTATAATGGTACAATCTTAGTTCAATTTAATTTTAGTTAATGATCTAGTTTTAAATTTAGAACAATTTGAAATTTGTAAACATTTAATAAATTATCTTTTAATCTTTTTCAGATGACCCATTTCATGAGAAATATTACTTTTCCAAACCTTGTAGTCATGTATTGTCTTTTCTTCATATTATTTAGTTTGAAACTAATGAAAACATCAAAGGAAAATGTTTATAGACATTCACATGTTCATTTCAGAAACATGTATGTTTCTCTTAATGCTTGGTACTTGTTTTAAAACAAAAAGCGGTATTCACAACATAAACTTATAGAGAATTCTAAAACGTCAGAAATATATTTATAATCTTGCTTTTAAGTGTTGCTCTTTTCTGTAGGGCATTCAGAATGTACAATAATCACACAGAGCATTTGTTTAACATGTTTATTACTGAGCCCACATTAGAATTCTTTTAGGCTTTTGAACTTCATTTTGAGAAATCCTTTTTTTTCAAGATATTCTTTTGTCCTCCAGTTAAATAGTAGAAAGTGTGTTCATGGTATAATATTTTAAGATAGTATCAGCAGAAAGTTACAACTTTATGAACATTTTTAAACAAATTTTACATAAATGACTTCATTAGATACCTTCCTTGTTCCTCTCAACAAAATCTTATCAGTTTTCTGCCAATGATATCCAAATGATGAGCATTTTTCTTTGATGAGGTTCTCACCATTATTCATGGTGGTCCTTTTTTCAATTTTTCAATTTTTTAAGTAATGAGATTAACTGTGTATTTTATAGAGAACTGAATTACAAATATGTTTTCAACTATTTTTGTAGTATTTAAGTGTTATGTCAGTTCTTTTCATGTCATATAGAAATTGTCTCAAAATACTCTTTAGGGGAATAAGTCAGTTTATAGTCAGAATGGTTGACAGTCTGATGTTCTAAAAAAGTTTATTTATCCTGTAGTCAGATCATTTTATGCATATGTAGCTTGGGTTAAATTTCAAGTACAGTGTTCAGCGCTGGTATATTTACTGTATAAATTTGTTTTGTTTTGATTTCTGTCATGTAAAACGCTGCCTTGGTCATCATAATGTAATCTGTGTTGTGTTCTTCTTTTTTCACATTTACAGCCTTTAAATAAAACATTTAATATAAATTTTTAAAAAAATATCCTTGCATTGTTCATGGTCA